TATATAAATATTCACATGCAATATGTATACTCATTTTAAGTAATATTAAAACAATAATTAACAAAATCTTTGCATTTATTCATAATGCCTTCAATGTTCTGAAATTCAGAATTTCTATATTTTTATTTTTATTTGTTTTATGTATATTCAGTGAATATACATAAAACAAATAAAAATATAAATGAAGAAATACAAAAGTTACCTCTGAATCAACTCCTTAATATATTTTGGTAACTTTCTGCCAACACGTGAGTCTAAAAAAGAAAAAAATACGAAAAAGGCATATTGAAGTGTTTTACACATAAGATCTTATTTAAATATTTTTACTGCATTCACCAAGGTCAAGCCTTAAAGACCCAAGCTTATTTAATAAACAGTTAGAACTGAATAAGTATTTTGCCATGATTCAATCAGAGCAATCATGGCAAACTCATAAATATAAAACATTTTTATTCACTAAATTTTGTAACGGAAATAAAATTTTAAAAAATTAGAATTATTCAATATTGTTTTTTCACAATTTTGTTAGGCTGCAACCAACCTAAAATGTTTAAAAATATTTATAGGCTGAATAAATAGGATGACATAATTTGTAACAGTAAATGATTTAGATATATTTTAATAAAGTGATTGTAAATTTTTTGTTGTTTCAAAAGCTGGGCGTTAAAATATATTGTCCAGGTTTTGTTCTCTAAATCATGTTAAACATATTGAAATCAAACTCACAAACTGTTGAGCAAAACCTTTGTTACCAATTCTTAGTGTAAACTCGTTCAAATATTCTATTGTTAAGTTTAAATTTAAGATTAAATAATGTGATTATGTATATTTAAGTCAACTTGTTCTGATTTTAAACACCTTGATAACTTAGTACTTTAACTCTGCACATAAAAATTGAAGTAAAATAATAACATTCAAAAAATATATATTTTAACTTGGCATGGGTTTTATTAAAATAAAAGATTAATTAGTTTTTCGGTTAGAAAGATAAGAGAATAAGTAAATGATAGTACTATGATATATACATATATATCATGGTACTATCATATATATATATATATATATATATATATATATATATATATATATATATATATATATATATATATATATATATATATATATATATATATATATATACATATATATATATATATATTTATATATATATATATATATATATATATATATATATATATATATATATATATATATATATATATATATATATGTATGTATGTATTTTGGTATAACATATCAATTTTAAAAACTATATCATATCACATATCATATACAAAAACTACACACAAATATATTTGACATGTACTTTTTTGAAATACTTGGGAGTCATTGAGTTGAGAGGGGGTTATAACCACAATTGAAATAAAAAGGAGCCTCCTCAATTGTAGCACCGTTTATGGCCTTTATGGCCAAAATCAGTTCTTTCTTTCAACTTTGAAATTAGGGAAAAATGAGATTGTGATTCATTTTGAAAATTAAATACTGATTGAGTGTATATCATCTAATACTTTGTGTGTATTGATTTAAATAAATATTTTGTTTATTATGACTAAGATCTAGTGTAGAATTTAGATGTTCTGTTGCTGTTTCTGAAGGATATGTTTTTCGCTTGCTTCATAGTGAGAAGTTATGAGTTCTATCCTTACCATGTTCCTGGTAGTAACCTGGAGGTGAATAACAATAAAAAAATAAATAATAATAATTTAATACAAATATATAAAAAATTGTTTACCCTTTTTCGTGACTTAAGACTCAAACTTATGAGAGTCAGTGTGAGTTATATAATTGTAGGAATAGCATGATATGATTATGCCAATATACAAATTCGTAAAAGAAACACATTACACAAGTTATAAGATGCTTATTAGATAATTTCTAGTTTAGTTCCACAACAAAATAAAAAACTTTCCATTCAAATAAATAAAATATATATTATGATTAAGACATTGTCTTAATATTTAACTTAATTGTCTTAAATTTATACTTAATATATTATGTATATTAAGTAAAAACTTTGTTTTAATACAACTTACAACTGTCTTAGACAACTGAATTGAATGTCATAAAAAAAAGGCTCTGTATTTTTATTGGCATTTAATTAAACTGTTAAATAGTTTAATAACGGGTATTTAAAAAACCTATCATTGCATTATCTATTTGTAAATAAAATATTATGAGCAAATATTATATATGTTAGAAATTTTTACAATATAAGTAATGTTAAATATACAAAGTATACAAAAACATAACAAAAATGTCAACAGTTTTTGAAAATCAAATTAAGTTTTTGTAACTTTTATTTATCATTAATATGATAAAAATTTAATATCTAATTCGAATGTAGAATATAAAGAAATAATGTATTAATTATTAGTATCACAATGCCTTAAAACCAGATTAAAAATAACATTTTTTTCGATAACGGTTTATCAACCATTTTAAAAATGCGCAAGTTCGTAAATCAAGTTGTGTTTACGTTAAGGCGAGTTTCCACTCATCCGTTTTTCAACGGGAACGAAAAAAATAATCATGTGAGCATGCGTAATAAAAGTTTTTATTTGTCCGAAAGAAAATTGCGCATGCTCACGTGATTATTTTGCCGTTCCTTTTCCCTTTTCCGCAGAAAAATGGATGAGAAAGCTGACGTTGAACCTTAAGAAAGCTGACGTTGCTTTGATGTCAAAAGTAAAAACGTAAAAAAAGCAACATTGTTCCAATGTCGTTCCAACGTTAATCAGACTAACGTTGGTTTTACGTTAAACAACCAACGTTGTTCCAACGTCGCTTTAATGTTAACATTCAAGACTTTAGATGATAACGTTTTTCCGAAGTTGTTCCAACGTTTGATAGCAAACGTTAGAACAACACCGTTATGCCGACGTTGGAACATCGTTGGAATTTAGTTAACTTGCGTCGCGACCAAAATACAACCAAATTACAACTACGGCTTAACGTCTTTTTCTTACTGGGTCGCTATTTATCATTTTCGTAATAAAATTTTCACTAACATATTCCCAAAAGGCGCTGGAAATTTGCTTTGTTTCTCACCACAACTAATTGTTTTGATATAGTTTTGTTTTGATTATTAGGCAATATTAACCAAACTGCCATGGCTGTTATTAAATAAGTTAATCGTAGCGAGTTTATTTGCCCGATTTTTGGTCGTTAAATAGAATTATCTGTAAATAAACTTCCAACTTATGAAGAAGTTTTTATCTGTTATTCTAATGAAAATTACAAACTAGCCTTGAAATCAAACAATAAGTCAGTTAAGTTTTCTTATATTTTAAATTGTGTCGCACAACAAGTTAAATCAGTGTTTGATAAAGCTTCGATACCCAGAGTAACGAGTTACAGAGTTGTCCAAATAATGGATACCATGACAGTTATCGCAATCTAATGAAATTCTTCAAACGTGATAAAAAAAAAGAAAAGTTCAAAAAGAGAGTAAAAAATTAAAAAAAATTATAACTGTTTGATGTCTAGGCGTGTAAGTGTAAAACGACATTAGACTGCAAATGTAAAGTTGTCACTGAAATTTGTGAATGCGAGTGTCTGTTTCAATTATTTATAAGTGTGAAAAAAAAAAAAATCTCCATTATTAAACTAAAATTTTTTTACTTTTGAAGAATGCATCGTATTGGTAAAATTGGAAGTGTTGACGTAAAAGAAACAAAATAAATTACGCAAAGACACTTTAGGAAATTTGTTGAACTTAAAAGAACTCTACCCGCTAATAATATATTGTCGCAACAATAACGCTCAAACCATTTAAATGAATCACTAAAGCCAAAAGCGTTCCATAGTGATGCCTCAGTAGCCATTAAAGAAGTTATCGATGAAGAATTAGAAGAATTTAAGCTAACTAAGCCATCGTGGCAGATGCGCATTACAATCAAAAATACTGCTCTGGCTAGTAATTGGTATAAATTATCCGACAGAGCAACAGCAGCTATTGCCTCAAGTGTTTTGCAAGATTTTGGAATCGTAACCAATTATGATTACAGTCTTTTTCTTAACGAAAAAAAATTAGTAGAGCGAACGTGGATAACCGTTCACAACTTCAAATGCAGAGCAAGAAAAAACGTAAACCACTTCAAAGACTATATTTTGATGAGGGGTAGGACAAAAATCTAGTTGTTGAAAAACGTAAATTAAAACAGTTTCGACGAACCATAAACGAGGAACATTACTCAATTTTACAAAAATAAGGTTCCGTGCACGTTGGTCATGTTTTATTAACTTTTGGGACTGCTAAAAACATTGCCAGTAGCATTATTTCATATTTGAATGAAGCTGGAATTTCATTTCATAAACTGTACGTAATCGAATGCAATGGCACCGTTACTAACACGGAATGGAAAGCCGGTGTTATTCCCACATTTTAAAAAGATGTAAAAATACCACTGCAGTGGGGAATTCGCTTCTTACACCCAAACAAATTGCCATTCTGGCATTTATTTCAAACATTAGACAGAGAAACGATAGGCTCAAAATCGTTTAGCGGTCCAATAGGCGCATAGCTTAATAAGTGTAAGAAACTACCAGTGGTAAAATGTGTCAGTGTCAATTGTGAAACTTCAGAAATCGACTGCAAAATTTTAAGCAAAGATCAGCTGTTCTTGTTGGATATAAGGATATAAGTTTTGCTATTAAATCAGGCAGTTGTTCTCAAGATTTATCTGTTTGTGAACCTGGTACAATTTCACACTCAATCAGTTTTACAATTGTATTTGAGCTTTGAAACCCCTACAGAGGAGCACAAAATCTTTTTTTTTTAAAAGGATGGTTTCATATATAAAAATTAATTACTTCACAAATAGAGCTGAACAAGTATTTGAAATGATAAATTTGTCAAGATTCTTCCCAATGATTTGCTAAAAGTAATAGACCCAGTAATTGAAAGAAACGCGTTTTTTGCGCGTTCAGAAAACTTGCTTTTAACAATGGTAGTAGACAAACGGGTTTATATTAGGGAAGTGGGTTTTAGAAGATCTATAAAGGCAAGAAGCCTAGTTACTTAAACAAAGTTTATCAGCAGATTTGAACCAACCAAAGCTAATTTCCTTGCTACCGACTATACAGAGATAATTTACTGGAACACTACTACGCTTTTGCCGCAACCTTTGCTGTGAAGAAACTTAGATGAAGATACTTGGTCGCGGCTGAGTGGAACTTTGAAAAGTACCCATGTCACACCTAAGCAGTAAAACGATGCGTAAAGCTTGTAACAGAGGCTTCACAAAAAGTAGCTGGCTTTAAATTCAGAAATAGATTTTATAAGAACTAAACATTATAAGAACTCCAGATCCTCAATACCTATTTTTTTAAGCAAATCATTTTTTAAACTACGGAAAAAATTAACGAAAAGTAAAAGAATATATTTCTTCGAAAAAGTATTAGTCGAAAAGATGTTATTTTATTAATAAAAAAAAAGATTTCTTACTTACCATTCTAATACTTTTTTCTACTTTAGATATTAACTAAAGAGTTTATTCAATTTCAATTCATTTGTTAAAAAATATAAAAAGGGAAAATTTCTTCAATTATTCAAGCTCCTGACGTAAAAAGGTTAACATTAATTATTTTGCATTTTCCTTTAGTACTTTAAAGACAAGTTTTTTGCGATAAAGTAAGTCAAAAATCAGAAAAAGATTTTTATATATATATATATATATATATATATATATATATATATATATATATATATATATATATATATTTATATATATATATATATATATATATATATATATATATATATATATATATATATATATATATATTATATATATATATATATATATATATATATATATATATATATATATATATATATATATATATATATATATATATATATATATATATATTTATATATATATATATATATATATATATATATAATATATATATATATATATATATATATATATATATATATATATATATATATATATATATATATATATATATATATATATATATATATATATATATATATATATATATATATATATATATATATATATATATATATATATTCGATTGAAAAGTCAACTATCAGAACAATTATACATTATTTGGAAAACGGACTTTGAATTAAAAATAACAATCTGTGGGAAAGGAAGGGATACGACTCACCCGTACAATTGCATAATATAAAACTGCAAACTATTTTATCTAATTGTCAGAAAAAATAGTTTTAAGTTAATCCCAGAGTTTTGTAGAAACAAAAATGGAAAAGTTTATGCTTGTTAGAAAACTAGTTAGTAGAAAAATTTAACATGTGCGGTATCTTTCCGACTTACTGATTGCGTATTTGCAGTTTACTAACGGTTATCTTAATATAGCGCAGCTGCTGAACCTAGAATCTTTCATTTTGTGATGTAAGCACCGAATTTTGCAGGTAATAATTTTAACTGTCCCTTTAATGAAAATGCACATAAGCCACACAAAAAAATCAAAATTGCGGCTTTTTTTTTTCAATATGGCGGACAATAATTAAAATTCCCATGAAAATAAACGATTAAATGTATTTAAAACACATTAGTTGCAAATAAACGTCCATAACATGACAAGAAATTACTAAATGTATTTTTTACCATATATTTTTCAGCATATTTCTCTGGCCAGTACCATGGAAATTGTTTTACCATGGCAAAAATGGGTTGACTAGCAGCAATTAAAGGGACTTGCTCTGGATTAAGATGGGACACAACTTCCTTGATTTTGTTCTTACGATGACAAACTGTAGCAACAGAGTGAGCTTGTTCTGTAACAAGAGGTAATAGCGAAGAAATAGTCACTTTGAAATAAGAACTTTTCTTTAAGGAAGCATGATTTGAAGACTAAGATATATCAATTCTATCTGTGTTGAATGTTTTTGTGAGACTAACCTTTTGCAACTAATCATACTCCAGTTTCAGAACAATAGGTGGAAAAAATCCATAGTTTACTCTTGTCTCATACCTGAAAGGAGGTGAATTAACACTTTCTCATTTTCTGTCTGGCAACGTTTACTCCAGTCAGTTGCTGTTGGGGCAAATAACACATTTAATTTTGACATACAATTAACAAAGGTTTTGTATGAAATCAGATCAAAATAAAAATGATAAAACTTACCACAATATATATAAATCTTACCAATATTCCAAAGCTGAAGGTTTATCCGTTAACCACTTTAGATAAAGCAGATTAATGTATGGGATACAATTAGATTCAAATTGATTTTTAACGTCAATCCTAAATCTAGCCCGATTGTTCATCTAGTGTCAATTAAACCCCGTCCGATCTGTAAACTGTCCGGACAACACTCACACTGCTGTGAGACTCCAAATGGGTCCTAAAGCAGTCGTGTCACCAGTGTGTTCTGGTTGTGCTAAGACAACCACTCTTCAAATGTATATATATGCTGATTATATTAAAAATTGTAATGATATCAAAAGCAGCAAAACTTAAACAAATCATAATTCAATTCAACAAATACCATCAAGATCTAGTTTAAAAACCATCAAAGGAACAGGAATAGGCCTAAAAGTCAATATATTTATACAAAATGGTCGCATATTTTGCACAAAAAAAAAAGGTAATAAAAGTTAAGAATGTTTTGTCGTAGTTTAGGATTTGAAAAATTTTTTTTTTGTAGCTAAAGTGCTTTTTTGTCAAACGCATAGTTAAACTAAAATCCTGCCAAGATTGGTGCATGTATCATTAACTAAAAGATTTTTTCACTAACCTGCCGCGCTAATATGACAAAGAAAGTTATGACAAAGTAAAGGAAGCGTTGCCAATAGTATTTATCTTTAATGCAAGAGATATCAATTGGGTTATGACAAAGAAAGACCAGTGGAGGCATTCAAATATTATTTTACGGAAAAGCAAATCCTCACCAAATGGTGGTTTACCAAACAAAACTGTTGCGTATGTGTTACATGCCTTTGTTTTTTGTCTTAACGAAAAAGTTCAACGAGTACTGCAATCAAGTTCCTTAATGGACAATCTTACATAATATAATATAAATTATTACAAAAGAAATAGCAATTAATTGAAAGTTACATCGGAGGACAAACAACATGCTGCTGCTGCAATTAACTCCATAAAAAGGAGTTAAACATGGTCCGATTTTGGAATATTACATCAATTTGGCTAGAGACCATTAGGCTTCAGGGAATTGGACAAAATGAAAAGATGTTAAAAATTATTGTGCGTTCTAACAAACATCCAGAATGCACTTTTTGTTAACAACTTATTAAAACTGAAGAGATAAGGAGGCTATGAATAAAAAGGAACAAGCAATTTTTGTCTTACCGATAAAACTTTTTGTTTTAATACCTTTATGTATCAAATATTTTTTATGTTTAGTTTTATACTGCTTATATTTTAATTTTTTTCAAATAAAAAACTTAAAGTTACTTTAGGCACACAGAAAATTAAAAGGTAATATTAGAGATTTGTCTACCTGTAGCCCCATGCATGAATAATTACATTGCATAAAGAATGCACATTGCTTAAATATTATAAATGTTATAATATTTTTATATAAGTTATGTTGCTCTTCATATTAATAGCAATAATTCCTATTTATTCACAAGTTTTCTTGTAACTTTATGTGAAGTTACAAGAAAACTTTTTTTTGGGAATTTATTTTATAAAAAAGTTTTTATGCTTTAAAGTAAAATGTGATCTTCAAATATATTATTTTCAAAGGCGTATCTTATGCGGAAAGAAAAAAATAATAGGAAAATTTTAGAAGAAAATAAACAACGGAAAACAAGGTTTGCTTTTAAAAAACAAGTTTTATGCCGTATAATACCTTTACAAAGTGTAATAGTGAACTCAAGATTTTAAAAGTAACAGTATATGTAGAGCCAACAGAAGAATAGTTATTATCAGTAGTGACAAGATAAGCAAGAGATGCTTTAGTAAAAGTACCTTCAATAGCACTTAAAGTTAAATAGTATCTAATAATAATGCAGTAGTAGCGGTAGTTGCATTGCTAGCTAGTGATGTAATCTTAATAGTAGAGTAAGTGCTATGAGATGCTGATTGCATAGTTCTTGCATAAAAGGTAGTGCAATTTTCATCTTCTTTTTCCAATATTTTCTTTAGCCGTTTAGGCGCTTTTTTTCCACAGCAGATGATTTTCATCTTTAAAACGTATTTCAAAGAAACAATTGCATAGAATTGGTGCCATTGTAACTATTTGCCTTTTATCATTTATTTAACTTCAAAATATTTTTTTATCGAAATAGAAAACACAAAATTTTTTTAAATAATTTGAATATAAATTGTTTAAAGATTTATTTAACTAGAGGCGCAACAAAACCATAAAATGCTTGAGTGCTATAGCGTTGTAATTCTCATTTGTCTACGACCATGTTTTAATTGTCTCCACAATTTAGTAAAAATGTTTTGATATTTAAAATTAAAGCTGACCTAAATGTTGCTGTTTATTTTTGTTTTTGAGTAGCTTTGTCAGATGTTAAAAGAACAGCAAGCCTTTAAAGAAAAACATGGGAGTGAAAAGTAAAAATGATTATATTGAAAAAATAGCAATTATTATGAACAAAATAACACATAATTATGATCCTGCACAGAGAGTTTAAAAAAGTTATGGTAGAGAATCAACAGTATTGGTAGACGCTATTTTATTACCAGTTTTATTACCAGCGTGGTTTTCATATTACTATTAAAAAAATTATACTTGACTTATAACTTTATTAAGTTAGATTCTAATGTGATAGAAGCAGTTAAAAACTGTCATCAGTTAAGGTTATGATAAAAAATGTTAACATTGTTATTTGTATTTAGTGGGTTTTCAATCTATACGATAAAAATATGCAATTTCTTGAAATCATTTTGATGTGTTAATGTTTTATTTTTAAAAGTTGATAATAATTAGAAATATATATTATAGTTATATGACATATATGCATACTTTACTAATTTGTTTTAGATAAGTTAAAAAGAGGACAACTAAAAACTGAAAACTTCAAAATAGTTAAACTCCTCGGGTCAGGTGGATATGGAAAGGTGCGTTTTTATGCTTTATTAATTTAATTTATTGATGTTTTAAGTTGTAAATTATTTAGGGTGGTACATATCTATTTAAAAAAAGCTATAGATTAAGACTGTATAAAACGATTTTTTATTAACATAATTTAAAAAATAGTTAATAAAGCTTTTGTGCTTGTATTGTTACAAAAAAAATGGTATTTTGTTAACAAAATATCTAAAAAACTAAAACAGTTCGAGATTCAAATTTTCACAAGTTCTTCATTGTATAGTATTGCAGGTGTTGAAACAACACGAGGTCACAATACAAAAATTTAAGAATATATAAATAGTTTTTACTCATTAATGGTATTATATACTGGAAATCCCCTAAAAAAGTAACTTAAAATGAAAATTTTTGAGTTTAAAGCATCAGTTTTGGTTTAACTCCTGTCCATTATAAATAAAAAAATACTTTAAAAATTTCAACCTAAAAACTTTTGTTGATTCTGAGATATCATGTTTTAAAGTTTATCAATATCACTAAATATTAAAAACTGAAAATAAAAAAAAATAATAAAAATAAACTGACATAAAAAAAATGAATTCATAAATATAATCCTGCAAAATAAGCATGAGTCCCTTCATACTCATTTTGTTTTGAAATTCAAGTCTATTGGCTTTTAATTTTCTTCGAACATATTGCCTTTTGTTGATAACAAAGATCTTTGATGATAACAAAGATATTTTTTTTAGCTTTTCTCCTCCATTTATTACTGATGTCACTCTAAAAAAAAAGAAACAAAAAAAAGAAAAGAAAGATAAGCAACAATTACAATAAAGAGAATTTAAAAAAAATAATAACAAAAAAAGAAGAAGAAAAGAAAGTTAAAAGTAAAAATATTTATAAAAATAATAATAGTAACAATAATATGATTTAAATTATTATAAAAAATAATAACTGCAATATAACAACGTAAAAAGAATTAAGTAAAATGATAAAGCAATTGTAAGATAATTATATTATAGTTAACCCTACCATTTTGTTGAGGTCCAAACGGACCCCACGAGTAGTTTGTTTTTGCATTATATATTTATGTAGTCAGTATTTTTTTTCAAAATTTCGTTAATCTCTTAAATATAACAACATGTACAAAGACTCAATAAATTGTTTTTGGACATTGCTTCCTTTTTTAGTTATTTTCAAAATATATGTCTATGATGTTGGGGTCCATATAAACCCTAACATATTTTTTTTTATAAAATGTATAGTTTTTCAAAACTAATGCTTTTAAAAACTCTTTTTATTTTTTTTTAGTTGTAACTTATTCAATCTTTTTCTTTGATATTTTCAGATAAATTAGATAAACTTAGATTTCATAACAAATATTAGAATTTATGGCTAAAAAAATAGAGTTTGTATTAGATATACTGCTGAACAGGCTATAGATACAGTGCTAGATAAACGATGCAAACAATAACTACTGTTTGCATCACTTAATAAAGATCAGTTAAGTGAAGTAGAGTTAATATCTGGTGATAATAAAGAGGAAGAGGTTGAAGTAACATGATATAGCTGAGGAAATAAATCCAGGTAAAACTAATGTAATAGTATAAACTGAAGTTGAAGTTTGCTATAAATTTTTGTAAGTGCTCAAAAAGTAATGAGTATGTATAAAAAAAGTAATATGTATAAAAAATATTGCAAAAACAAAGACTAAACAGTTATCACAAATTTGCATCACAAAATAAAATTGATCATGAAAAAAAAACAGGATTTACACCATATGCAATACGTATGACCGAATTGATACTGCTTTTCAACATTTTTTTACCTCAAAAATCTTTATTATACTTTTTATGTATATATATATATATATATATATATATATATATATATATATATATATATATATATATATATATGTATATAACTATATATATATATATATATATGTATATAACTATATATATATATATATATATATATATATATATATATATATATATATATATATATATATATATATATGTATATATATATATATATATATATATATATATATATATATATATATATATATATATATATTTATATATATATATATATATATATATATATATATATATATATATATAAATATATATATATATATATATATATATATATATATATATATATATATATATATATATATATATATATATATATATATATATATATATATATATATATACAGTGGTTTTCATAAATTTAGAAGCACTCATATTTAAGAATAGAAAATTTTAGGTATTTTAACGATAAAACAATGACGAAAAAAGATTTCGGTTTAGTTTTTTTTTCTATTTATCAGAAAAATACATACAGAATACAAAATTTAAAAAAAGTTTACAAAAAAAAATGAAACACTAAGTAATAATTAGGTACAACTACATGGTATTAAAAAAATTAGACAAAAAAAATTATATATAAATTTAGTTGCACGATACATAAGAAGGCGTAATTTATGAACCAATCAATATTTTGTGTATCCGCCTTTTGCTTTAATACAACTAATTTCTCTTCTAGGCATAGACTCAACAAGATTTTTGCACATCGCTTCTGGGACCCTATACCAGGTCTCCTTAAGGAATTCCTTCAGCTGACCAAGTGTGGAAATTTGAACCTTTGCTAATTCACAATCAATCCAAGCCCAAATGTTTTCAATCGGGTTCAAATCAGGTGAATATGGAGGCCACGGTATTGTCATAATATTATTATCGTTGAACCACTCCTTTGTATAGTATGCAGTATGTGCAGTAGCGCTATCTTGTTGAAGTTTCCATGGTTTATCATTGAGCATAAGCAGGTCAATTGATGGAATTAGGTTGTTTTCCAGAACTTCTATGTATATTCTGGAGTTGATTCTTCTGGTGTATGTTTGGCACATACCAACACCTTTGTAATTGAAGCATGACCAGATTCCTATCGAGCCTCCTCCACTTTGTACAGTTGGTCTAATGTACCTGGCGTAATACTTTTCGTGAGCCATTCTTTTGACTGTTATGTTAGATTTGCAATTGATAAGCTCAAAGTTACTCTCATCACTCCACATAATGTTTTCCCATTGATCTATTGTCCAATACCTTCTTTCACGACACCATTTTAGTCTCATATGTTTATCATATGGACGCAGAAGCAATTTCTTCAAAGCAGTGTAGACTCCAATCTTGTATTTGATAAGTATTCGGCGGACTGTGCTTTGAGAAATAGATGTATTTTGCGTTGTATTGAATTCTGTGGTCAATTCTTTGTAACTAATTCTTGGATTAGCTCTGACAGCTCTAAAAAGAACACTATCCTCCTTTCTCGTGGTTGACAAGGGTCTACCTGGCCTTGTTTTCTCGCTGGCACCACCAGTGTGAAGAAAGTTTTGTTTCGTTGTCCGAACGCATTTCTCAGAAACTCCAATTAACTTGGCGATTTCTCTATTACTTTTGGTTCCTTCTTTGATGTGCGCAATAATTTGCCATCTTTTACCTTGAGTGATACGTCTTTTGCCCATTTTTTACGTTTTTTTAGTGCAAAACTAACTTAACTTTTGTTTATTTATTAAAAAATGATTAAATAATTCTAGGTAAGTCATATTTATATAAGGTTTTTTGACAAAATCAATTAATTTAAGCCTATTAATGAGAAATATAAGAAAAAAACTACTGATTAACTATCAATTAACAAGATATCAGACTTTTTTAATTGTGCGTCTAAATTTATGAACAAAATAAAATCAAGTTTATCAGTTAATGTTTTTGTGTTAATCGGTATAAAATGAGTAATAAACATCCTGTAAAAAAAATTAAGGTACTCTATAATAGAGTTTCATTTCCTCTTTTAAATTATATATCAAACATAGTGGTATCACTTTTATTCTATTTTTATTTTGAGTATTTTCTTACATATATGAAAAAAAAAATGAATGCGTCTAAATTTATGAAAGCTACTTGTATATATATATATCCTTTTAGTGTAGTCGAAAGAGTCGTTTAATGTAAAAAAAGTCTCTTACGACAACAATTTTAATTACCTTGTCTCTTAAGCTGTATTTGATTGTCGTCGAAATGTCAAAGCAATTAAATTAATGCGGAAGTACATTAAATTTTATTGTTTTTTAAAAATTTTTTAAAAAACCGCAATAATAACGACTAGAAAGTTTTTTTTAATTTGTAGTGTTTTTGTTTTTGTTTATTAAAAAACATGTAAATGTTGCTACATCGACTATCTTATAGCCTGACTCGCAATGGAGTGCTGCTACATCGACTGACAAATAGCCTGACTCGCAACAGAGTGCTGCTACATCGACTGACAAATAGCCTGACTCGCAAGGGAGTGCTGCTACATCGATTACGACTCGCAAGGGAGTGCTGCTACATCGACTGACAAATAGCCTGACTCGCAAGAGAGTGCTGCTACAACGACTGACAAATAGCCTGACTCGCAAGGGAGTGCTGCTACATCGACTGAGGGTTTGGTTTGGGCAGGCAGTCTATCATTTAAAAAAAAAAAAATTTTTAAGTTTTTAAACTTTTTCGACTACACTATAAGGATATATATATCTTTATTGGGACTCTTTCAACTACACTATAAGGATATATATATCCTTATAGTGTAGTCGAAAGAGTCTTTTAATGTAAAAAAGTCTCTTTCGACTACAATTTTAATTACCTCGTCTCTTAAGCTGTATTTGATTGTCATCGAAATGTCAAAGCAATTAAATTAATGCGGAAGTACATTAAATTTTAATGTTTTTTAAAAAGTTTTTAAAAAACCGCAATAATAACGACTAGAAAGTTTTTTTTAATTAGCAGTGTTTTTGTTTTTGTTTTATTAAAAAACTTTTTTAAAACATGTTGTTTATGTAAATGTTGTTACATCGACTATCTTATAGCCTGACTCGCAAGGGAGTGCTGCTACATCGACTGAGGGTTTGGTTTGGGCAGGCAGTTTATCATTTAAAAAAAAGAAAAAATTAAGTTTTTAAACTTTTTCTGGGCTGGTTTATTAACGCGCTCTTTAAAACTGTAGTTTATGGGAAATTCTTTTTTAATTTTAGGTCTATCTTTGTACTGAAAAAAATACAGGCGAAAAATTTGCAATGAAATGCATTGAGTCTGAAAACACTGATCGTAACGTAATAGCACAACAAGTGGAACAACTAAAGCAAGAAATTTCTGTTTTTAAAACATTAAACCATATACGAATTGTGAAATACTATGGGTTTACTTATGATAGCACATCAATCTCTATTTTAATGGAATACATGGAAGGGGTATATAAGTTTTGTTAATTTTTTTTTTATGAACTGTTTATCTTTAATTGTTTTTTTTTTGTTTTACTTTATGTTAATGACAGAGGTTAACGTTATTTTGTTTATAAGTAAAATTCTGTTTTTTTATTTTTTATGCATTGAATATAAAAGCCCTATATGCATGATCGAATTATAACTTTTCCTTTTAATTGTCTTTTTTTTATAGTTTAACTATTTACAAAACCTAATTTTAAAAGTTTAAATAATACATATATTCTATCAATAACTTTTTTTAAATAATTTTTTTAAATTTAAAATCCTTTCAAAAAATTAATAGTTTTCAGACTCAAGCACAATGATTTAGAAACATTTAAAATTTAGCCATAATACAGTACTTTGAGTAGCGCAATTTAAATAATGTTATTATCTAACTAATTTTACAGTGTCTTATAATTCTATCGGTATGAAAAAACTAGTACTGAAATAATAATTTAAACGTTAGTTTATGTTTGTAAGTGACTGAAAACAGCGTTTTTTTTAATCATTAAAGTTTATTATTATTAAAACTTAATCATTTTTATTTTTATTGTATACAAAGAAGATAGATAATTTTATCCTAATTTAAAAAAATATTTGAATATGTATTTATACATCTTGTAAGAAACGCATTTATAAAAAGCAACTTTAACAAGTTTAAACTAGTTTTTAGAAAGCTAGAACTGATATTCTCGTCGAAAGTAAAAATAAAAAACATAAAAGATATATAACATTAACATTTGTAAATACTAATAACTGGATTTAAAAGTTTTACTTTACAAAAATTAAAAATTTAAGAGTATGTTATCATTAGATAAAATTATCTTCTTATGTTTTTTTGTGAATGTGTTGTAATTCCACTCTTGTGTAAAATTAAAAAGTTTTAAAACTATTTTGTTCGATAAAAAAGCTCATCAATAAGAGATACAAGATCTACCAAAATTTGTATGCAAAAATGGTTGTTTGATAAAGTTTTCGTTTCAAATATATATTTTTTTTATGTCATTATAAATTAATAAATAGAAAAGGCGAAGTCTTAGTTTTTTTAGATATTAAGATATAAATTAAGAATACTCATTTAAAGTATAAACACAAAATAACTAATAAATCTATTATTAATGCAAAGTGTTGAAGAAATAGTAGCTGATATACTAGAAAATCAAAGTAAATTTATTTTGGAGGAGCAGAGCAATTCTTTAAAGACCAAGAAAAAAAATTTGCAATTTTTATTTCTGCAAACATTAAAATTTTAACGAGGAAAATAGATAAACTTGAAAAAGATACGCATAAAAGCATAACAAAAACTAACGATATTGCAAATGATTTGAATGCATCTCGTCAATAAGGTAGTGTTTTAGGAAACGCAACAATATAGTTTTCTTGGAAACGTAACAAGGTAGTATTCTTGGAAAGCGAATTCAACAAATAAAAAAATATATTTCTGCACAGGATGTAATAAGTTCGTCAAAGTTTGAAGCAGTGAAACGGAAAAGAAAAAAATTAATATTAAAGTTAAAGAGAAAAGTGAAATATTAAATATAAGGAACAAACTAAGAGTGGTGGAAAGTCGTTTGCGTAAGAACAACTTGAGAATTGACGGAATCAAAACAAATCAAAAATGAATCATAAACTGAATCTGAATATAACGTGCAAAAATTGTAAGAGGAAATTCCTTAATATTAAAAATATAAAAATTGAAGGAGCACATCAATCAGGATTGAGAGATAGCAAAAAATACAGATGGATGGTTCTAAAATTATTAAATTATAAAGACAAAACTGAAATACTCAAATAAATATGGAAAATCAAATGTAAAAATATCTTTATAAATAAGGACATCAGTACTGAGGCTACAAAAGTATGGGAGGGTTTGAGAGATTGCATGAAAAAAGAAAGGGAATCCGGCAATTTCGCGGTCATATCCTACGACAAACTCGTCATTCGCGATTGGGCTGAGAAGAAAAGAGATGCTGTTTCCACTGAATCTATATAAGAATTTATATATTTTTTAGTTTTAACTAATTTTTCCTTATTCTTAAATTTATATTTTAAAATGGATGATAAATTATTAAATAAACTTTGTGATGAAAATGTCACAATTTATGATAATGATGTCACTAATTTTTTTAACCTAAAATCATTAGAAACAAATACTTCTTAGTTTCTGAATCTAATTTTTATCTTTAACAAAATAAAAAGACATTTTCATCTTACACATTATTATTCCAAGCCTAAATAAAATTTTGAAGATTTTAAACTTCTAATGCACGAATTAAATCACATTTTTAAAATAATCTGTCTAATTGAGACCTGGTATAAAAATGACGAGCATAAGTTACAATTTGAATTAACGAATTACGCGTCAATTCATCAACTACAAAACTTCTGTGCTGTTGGAAGTGTATGCATTTTTATTCGTTTTTGTATTTGTGGTATAAAATTATCTCCGTTAATTTTATACCACGTAATGAACTCAGTGTGAATGAAAAAGATTGCAAGTTATTGTGCATTGAAATAACTAACCAAAATTCTAAAAAAATATTTGTTAATGTTATTTATAAAAATGCAGCGGATAATTTAAAAAATTTTAAAGCCTGCTCAAGTTATTTTTTAACAAAGTTAATAAAAAAAAAAGCATATTTACTTAGTCGGTGACCTGAATATTAATCTTTTAAACCATGCGTCAAATAACAGTATTAAATATTTTGTAACATAATTACTTATAATTTTTCTAATAGCTTCTTAAGTACAGGTAAAATAAAAACTGACTTGACAGGCCATTTCTCTACATTTCTTATAACAAAAAGCATAAACCCTGATAAAAAATTTCCACAAAACATATTATTTTCAAGCAACATATCTATGAAAACTCCATACAATAATTTCTCAACCTTTTAATTAACTTCGTTATTTGGGAGCTTGTTCTCCAATTACGTGATGCTATTTTTGTAAACAATACAGTAAAGCGCTTCCTGTAAATACTTTATGAAAACAAAAAACTTTATGAAAAGTTTCTAAAAAAAAACATATTCAAATGAAGAAAAGTATAAAAACTATAAAAATACATTTAAAAAAATCAAAAAATACTCTAAAAAGTTATATTAATTGAAATTGCTAAATAAGCCAATGGAAAAACTCAACAAAATATTGGACAAATACTAAAATAACGTTCTGCGAAAAAATCGTTTGACGATAAATCAGTTTATGATATGATATGATAAAACACTAGTAGCTGAAGATTTTAACAGTTTTTTTAATAATGTTAGCTCTAATTTAGCACGAAGTATTCCTCCAACTTCTTTAACATTTGATTCTTATCTAACAAATTCTAATAAAAAAATGAATGAGTTAAAGCTAGATATATGTGAATTTTGGACTGCATTACTAAGCTTAAAAAGTAACAAAAGTGCAGGATCAGATAAAGTTAGCGTTAATATATTAATATTAGTCTATGATGTAATTGAACCATCTTTGTTTCATATCTTCAATCAGTCACTTAATTCAATTCACTTAAGTCAGGTAAAGTTCCGGAAAATTTGAAAGAAAAATAAAAAAATTTAAATTGAATATTGATAACTGGTTTCTAGCTGAATCATTTTAAATCACCCTACCTGTAAGTGTGCAAAATAGTCTGGTCATAATGCAAGTTAATAGATGACAGTGTCACTCCAGATGTAGAATAATAGCTGTATTATCTTGTTCATAATTGGATAATAAAATCTTTTTAGTAGTAGCCTCATGCACTGCAAAATTTTGAATGAATCACTTGGGCAGTTCTTCACCAAACGTCCAAAACAAGATAGAGTGCGCACATATAGGGCTGTCCGGGCATTGTTTAAACAACCAAAAGAAATACTGAAGTCTTTAAAACTTGTTTTTATGTCAAAAAGGGGCAATAAGATTGCTAATAATTCAAAGAATATATTTGCTTTCAGGTTTCATACAAAAAATATTTTGTAATACATTTGGCAATAAACTTTCTCTACATTTAAACATGAAACATAAATTATTAAAGACATTTAGTTGATATACATTTAAAACATTCTTTTCTTTGTTTTTTATGAAAAAACTGATTTTTAAAACTTACTGCGCAAGCTGCGTGTTTCTGATAAAGGTAAAGAAAAAAAAAAGCTTTAGCTTTGTGTTACTAGTGTCCCCCATATAATATTTTCCCTATATAATATTTGCTTAATTTATATGACAATGTATAAATAATATTGTTGTGTTGTTAATAAAACACTGTACTATACTTAAATATATATATTCTTATAAGTAAGCCATCTTTAATATACATTTTAATATCGCCACGTATGTTTATATATATAAAAACATTGTTCCTGTTTGTCCGCATATGACTAAGGTTTACGGCTTCACATCCCTGAAACGTATTGGCTTTTGCCCCCTTGTCGACTGAGTACTTAATTGATTCTGGTTAGGTTCTTCTTTAGTAACACGTAGTTTGGACATATCAGATTTATCACTATTGCATGGATTGATTTTCTCATTATTGATATGATCATACCGCATACTGTCTTCATTATTCATAAGTATACTAGGCTCATTTAGGCGTTAGTTTATTTGGTCACAGTGTGCTAACGTACCCGAAGAGTTATTCCTTAATATGATCGCAGTGTTTAGACCTGCCTGAGAGATGAATGAGGCAGGTTCAGGTTTGGAATCTGGTTTTTGGCGGTACCATAAAGGTGTTCCACTTTCAAAACTCATGGTGAGAAGGGATCTCAACTGCCTTCCCATTATCTCGGAAGGACTCCTTGATCTTCCTGCATGAGGTATTGTTCTGTAACTTAAAAGCATTCTGCTTAAATATCCATATAATAAACCTTTGTCCGGTGAATAAGCTCTTAAACCCATCTTAACTGTCACTACCATTCTTTCAGCTGCTCCGTTAGATTGAGGATGGTAAGGTGGAGTCTTATAAGGTACACAACCTATTTTCTTTAGCCACTGGTGTAAGGTGGTATCATGAAATTCCGCAGCATTGTCGGATACTAAAACCTCTGCCACAATGTATATCAT